TAAACTGTCGAAGATAACGCAAGAGTTTTACAAAATAATTATGTGTGGTAGAAAACCGTTCGACCGCCCACGATTTGAACTCCAAACAGATCTATTGTTGGGCAAATATTCAAGATATTACCTGTTATATATCCGGAATTAAAACCTGTGTCAAAGCCCAGAGCTCTCTTAGCCATTATTATTATTTTTGTTTGCGTCACCATGAATTGGTGCACAACTTACGCCTGCACGAAGAGACATTTTCTGCCTCATGCTTGCTGATCAGTTTTGTTTAACATTTTCGACAATACAATTTTGTCTTTAGAGTTTTACAAGGCATGGTTACGACGAAAGAAAGAACTCGATTAAAATCCCCTCTCAAATGCAAATCATAGCACGTTTTGCTGCTCATCACACAAGCTGCGTGTTTGAAGTGATAGATAACATGGAATTAGAAGAAGTCTTCTCGTGCTTATACTCTGTGATTCAAATGATGTTGAGGATAAATATTATTTATTTTTTATGTGTCTGTTTTTGGTCACTAAATAAAACATATATATTCATGAGTACTATTTTGAACATTCGTCTCAAAAGAATGTGTTCAATTTAATGTTATACAATTTAGGACATATTACAAAATCTAGCAGTGTGTGTGTGTTTGTACCTTGCACTGAACTTACGGTATAATGTAAATTACCTAATTATTTGAGTATTTTATATATTTTGTCACACGTGTGGATTTAATACGATATTATATAATGATTCGATGGCCTTGAAATACGGAGTAAGCATCCACAATTAATAATAGTTTTAGTTCTGATTATATTGTAATTATTTTAAGTAAATTTAGCTTCTCTGACAACTGTGTGATATAGGTGGCTTTTCACAATATAATTAGGTAATGTGAGATAAAAGAGGATATTTTATAGTTGAATATTGTAATGTTCATTTAATCATGTACCATGTGACACCATCACACATGTGTTCAATCAGAGATAAAACAAAATCAATTTAAACTTGACCTGCGCCAGCTTGGATTTACTCTTATTGACGTATTTTGTTTTTTATCAAATTAAATTAGTATG